GAGAAAGGCACTTAAACTCAAGGAAATCGGCTGAAACTTCGTCAGAGGATCGCACAATACATCAATAACAACAGATTTGAGTTTTGTTTCGATTTATTAAAATTCAAGCGAGAAATTCTCGATTCAATAACACCACATAAACTCTTCAAAATAACGGTAAATATAGAGGGGAGGGGAGGGGTGGTGTACATAAGAACCACTGATAAAGAGCCTGTGCTCCCTGTGAATTACCTTGGAAACTTTTATTCAGTACACTGAAATGATCTAACTAAACGTCTCCTCAGAAGAATAAAGCAAAATCTATTATATTTTTGAAAATCGACCGAAAGATCAGCAGAAAAAATCGCCAATGTAAACGGGTCTTTAGATTTAACCCGTTTGGTTCAATTAAGCATTTTACACAAAAAACGGATAATAATATCAAATCTTGAAAATGAGAATAATTCAATATGACAGATTAATTCAATCAACTTACCTGGAATAGGAAGATCATCTTCAATTTTGGTCCAAGCTATTAATCGTCGTACTGGCTACTACCGTAAATGCTATGGATACTTAAGTACTGCAGTATGACCCACACTAAACGTAAACATATCAAATAAAAGACAGGTGCAAAAACAAATGATAATGACCCAAAATCTATTTGATAGCACCACAGTAGTGAGAAGATTTTCAAAAACAACATTTAGAACTCTGATGTTCTCGAGTTATCAAATTAAAAAGGCACAAACTTATTGAAAAACTGAAAAAGACCTAGAAATGCCGACATATTCAATGGCACGCCCAAGCAAGTGAGAAGAGTTTAACAAAAAGGATAAAAAGCTATTTACACAAATTTAGAAAAATCTAAGAAAAAAAAAACACACAAGAAAAACGATGAGCTATATACAAAGTAAAAAAAAAAAATAATAAAAATAAAATAAAAAAAACAATAAATACTAGCAAACTAGACTCTAGCTCTTCAACAATCATGTATGTTTAAACTCTTAAAAGCAATAATAGCTAACTAGTCAGAACACAATATTGAATAGCTGGTCTGTGGGGAGTCTGAGTATCGCACTATCGACTCATTATCATATTAAACACAAAATGTACTTTCTTGGATATATTATAATATGCATTTTTCCTCAATGAATCTTCAATGAGTTCTATCATGTCAGCAGATAATCAATTAAACATTCATTGCTCTCGTTCTGTTTGATAACATATTACTATTATAATAGATGCAATGTCATTACGAATTCTGTTGTATGTTGTCACCATTGTACTGATTTATATAATTCTTTCATTTTACCATGATAGTATGCAGGTAGCCCAAACCTATTATCAAACAAAGATGACGTAATGTGTTAGTCGATCGAGCGATTATTAGATTAATTGTGAATTTTAATTAGGATCAATGTAGCCTGCGTTACATCCGGTTTATTTCGCCAAAAACCGGATGTAATGCAGGCTAGGATCAATGTAGGTTGGAAAAAAATGCCATTGAAAACCACTAAAAATTGTAAATAAATTTCCGAAATCTATCCACAAGGGTAGAACGTGTATTTAAGAACATTTTGGTGAAGTAATCTGAGCATAAAAGTCTGTCTGGGGTGTCGGATTTTGAAACCTTCGAAAATTTGCTCCATTTCAAGTGCACGTATATTTGGAAAGGCTTACACAACTCAAGTTCGAACGGCTTATAAACGCTTGCAATCTTCCTAACCGCTCAATTTTTGACAGCGGAATTCCTATGAGTGATTTTCAGATAAACCTTCATCCCAATCTTTCTTTTGAAAGTCGCTGCGCAAACTCTGTGCAGAGAAATATTTCTTTTCTTAAAGTTCGAAAAGTCGAGCAAAAATCTCACTGTTCCAGTTTGTGTAACCTTTTACTCACACCCAATCCCTTCCAAATAAATAAATAAATAAATAAATTCAAGTTTATTACGTCCTTTTGCAGTTAACACTGATTAAATACAGCTGGAGTAGGTCCAACCCTCTTTGCTAGTTCCACTCTTCTACTTATTTAACACAGGAAGCCCGTTTAGAAAGAAAAGAGACGCCTGCAAATGAGGCTAGATTTTTAATCCACAATGAATCTTTGGTTCAGCGGATATTCAATGAAATAATCATATACACTGCGATCGTGCGATAACACGTTGGATGTATCATAACTGATTCTGCTCTACGGTGCTACCTTTGTACAGATGTGTAATTTTCTCGCTTTACGTTCGCATTGTGACGTTGGCGGAAACTGAGAAGTGACTTATACGTTATAATAATGTGGCGTTTTGATAATATAAACCTATTTCCAAAAACGTGTTTCCTGAGATTTAGTCATTTAGACGTCAAACGATAACCAGTCAAAATATCTTTTTTTCTATTGTAATTACCTCCTATACACCCTTTTAATAAGTCCCGAGGTTTTGTGTTCTCCGCACTTGACGTCAAATTTATTCTTTTGAATTCCTTTTGTGTTGTAAAATTTTCAAAAGAATAAATTTGACGTCAAGTGCGGAGAAAACAATACCTCGGGACTTATTAAAAGGGTGTATAGACCACAACGTTTTTGCAATTTGGTGTCAATCAGGCCAGCAATCCATCAGCTTATCAACAAGGGAAAACAACACAAGAGATCGACAAGGTCATTCTTGTTTGCATTAAATGAATGAACGACTGAATACGTCTTTGAATCAGTGAATTTTGTGCAATCTGCCGACACATGCAATTTCTGCGTTAAATATACATGCTTACGACATATACCGGAAGTAACTTAGGGATGGAAAAACATTCTTATTGAATTGAACAAGAAGCAAGAAAATGTCGTTTTCCTACAGACAAGCGATTTTTCTTAAATTCAGGTGAACGGAATCTAAACTCCTCCAGGGCCCTTAGGCCTCGTTTCCATTCCTTTGTTTTCTATTGTTTTCAATTCACTTCCGGCTTACGTCGTAAGCATCTATTGATTCGAAATATTACATATAATTATAGCTTGAACATAATTTTTTGCTGTGCTCTTGTGGAATCTTGCTGCATGTAATTTCCATGACTAGATCTTAAAAAACACAATTAAATCATTAAATGGATATATCAACTAAGTGTTGTTTTTTAACTTTTCATTTTGGCGTTTTTTTTTTACAGAAAAATGACGTAATAAAGAAAAATTGATTTCTCATACCGTACTCAGGCACAAGTTGGTCCACTGTGTCCGTGTCTGCATAAGCATTGTGTACCTTGTCCCAGGGAGTAACACTGCCCACCATTGAGACATGGGTTTGACTTACACTGAAATTGTTGATGGATGCGATGATTCAATTCAAGAAAATGACAATAAATCTAAGTAGATTTAACAGGTTTCGTTCCCTCGTTACCTTTAGAGTTTTAAACAAATATCCACTCTGCATTTCTACTCTGTATTCTGAAGCGCGGCCTTTGTAGAAAAGTTCACATTTCTTGGTCTGTGGATGATAGTTGAACATGTAGCACACATCAGGCACGTGCATGAAGCAGGCATCTTTGCAGTCGTTGACGGTTAAAGCCGTAATGGACTTTAAGAGAGGGCCAACAATAGCATGATTTTGGATAGCATCGCTGTACGCAATCCTCCATGACGTGCCTTGGAAGCACCCCTTTGGGCCTAAAGACGTAAAAAATGAGTAAGAAATAAAATGCGTTAAGATGGACTCATTTCAACGTAAAATGCATGGTTGAAAGGGACTGTGCGATAATTATCAGGAGGGGGGTTTCTTAAGCAAAAAATTAGTTAGAATCCCCCCCCCCCCCCCCTCCCCCCTCTGCTATATTAGAAATATTAGTCAGACGCGTAGCGTGGATTTAATTTTATGCACATGTCAGGGACTGCGTCATATATTTTGGATCTGGGGGTCTAACAAACGCCAAAGGCGGGAGTATTAAGGAAGTATGGTCCTCCCCCAGAAAATTTTGAAAAACATTTTCAAAATTTGAAAGAAATAACTCTTGGAAATGCGATTTCCAGCATTTTGAGAGACATCGAAAATTTGTACGCTGGTTTCCTTTCCTTAAGTCTAAAACTAGCTGTGAGGAGTGACGTAGAGTACAAACATTAAATGTGTGCAACACTTTCCACTATTTACTACAAAATAGTGTTGATTAAACTATAGAAAACAATAGAATTAGCATAATTTAGCAGTATTTAGTGGCATTTATGTTGCACAGTTTTAGTGTTTGTACTCTATAATAGAAACAGTCAATGTTGACGTAAAGTGAAGGGGTCTGAGTCTCTCTATTCTTGAATTTTTTTTCTATTGGGAACGATCTACTTGCGCCGGCAGTCAATTAATGTTATAATTCATGCGACATATGATATCCAGCCCCCCCCCCCCCCCCCCCAAAAAAAAAAAAGATAACCAAACTTGATAAATGCTCAGCCGTTAACCATCTCGATTTGTTTGGTCTTGATGCGTGTGCGGTTCGTTATTCCAGGCATTGAAGATACAACACATCTACCTGAAATAACAGGGTCTGCCGGTYCACGTCCGCCTTGTCTGTATTCTGAAAGAAAAAACACAATCTGTTACATAGCTAAAAACAATAGAAACCATTCTCACGGGCAATTGCATTCTTTGCCTCTCTAGAATAGGAGATGAAAATTAAATCTGTCTACCCATTCCTCCCATTCAGCAAAGTTTTTCTTAAATTTGCGGTAAAATATTATGTCTTCTATTGTCATGAAAAGGAGCCATTGTGGCTCAAAATACACACCTGAATGATTTTTYTGAAAGCTGATGGACTTCATCGTTTTACATCGTTAGGGGGAAATACTAGGTAAAGGTTGAATATTAACTGTCTTCAGTCAATACCAACAGTTTCCTAAACAAGTATTGCATACATACGAACCAACAGTTAAGAGGCACGATGGAAAAAGTAATTGATCCCGAAACTCACTTAAATTTAAAACCAAGGAAGTTCTTAAAAAAGCATTCTATTGATCTAATGTTTCATTTCCAAAAGGCCGATTGAATTTGTAGCTGACGCGTTTGAACAGTACTCAATACASATTAGTGCAGACAAAACATGCAATAGGTAAACTACAAGGAAACACGCAGGATTCTCTGTGAGTTTCGTGCCTAGACGCACTTGCCAGACAGAATTTAAATGCTCATGCGTGTTTCTCTGTAGTTCACTCATTGTGTTTTCCCAATGGAATATTTCGTTTATTACGTCGGTGACYGTGCAATTGTCATGCATAATAAATAATTTATATCGAAACCCTTTAATGACGACGAGTTTTTCACATTCGTATGCCGGATTGGGTTTTTTGACGACTTATATGAACGCTTTATAAACTCAGATACTGATGTATTCTATTAATAATGAAATTGATTTATCGGTTGATGAAACGTCAACTTCGTACGTGTCTGCAAAAGCACAAAATCTTAATGAATCCTAAACCTCGAGAGCGTAATGCAAAGGCTTTTGCTGCAAACCATACAACATTAGTTAATTACCTTTGATAAAGATAATTTGTTCGCTGCTCAATGCACCATCAGTGATGTAGAGATCCATTAATTCACCAATGAACTGATCTTCATTGTCAGAACCACTGTTTCCAATGTTGAAAGTCGGCTGTTCCGAGTAAAATGACGCTTTTGCTGGTGGAATAGAGACTGAAGACGCTTCGTTTCCGTTCAAGAAGATTTTGAATTCAGAGGATGTCTTATTCCATGTAASAGCAASGTGTTGCCATTCTTTGGTTGTCATAGAAATGCTTGTACCCAACGAAGGCCAATAATTATTTCTTGCACGGCGACCGAAGCCGACTACCCCGGTATTCGCAATGACAAAATTGAAATTAAAAGACGGGTACCAATCACTCACAAGCATTTGCGACCTTGAACTGAGAATGTTGTACAATTTTACCCACAGTGCGATGGTGAAGCCTCTGTATTGAAGACTGACGCTTGGAATTTTTGCGTAGCTTTTCACCCTTGTCAAGGCAATAGCTTTAGTGTCCGGTAAACGGCCTTTGACAAATGTATGTGGTTGTCCATGGAATCTGATAATTTAAGTTAATGTCATTTATTTGAGAATGGTCAGAATAAAGCACTTCCTTCTTTTGGCTCAACGACTATACATCAGTAAGGTGATGATGAGTCGGTCAAATTTCAGAAAACTTACAGTGAGGCCAAATGTTTAGGGCTCAGTTAAGATACAAAACAAATCGGAGCTATGATGAGTTGGACAGAAATGTTGACAATATTTCCGCATAATTCAGGAAAG